GTGCCTCACCACCCTCACTGTAAAGAACTTCCTTACATCTAACCTGAACTTCCCCTGTTTCAGTTTGAACCCATTACCCCTTGTCCTATCACTAGAGTCCCCAATGAAGAGTCCCTCTCAAAATTAATGTTTCCAGAAGAACAGCTAAACTGTAAGAGGAGAGCTGATATTAATATACATAAGATTAAATCTGATCAGAAAGTGTGAAGGAGGCTTCTCACAAAAGGTAGTTTTAAAAAAACTTGAGCTGACAGATAGTTCATTACTCCTCTGTTCCAAAACAACACCTGGATCAGTCAAGGATATTCAAGTGCCCTGGGCTTTTTCCAGGAAATGTTGAAGTATGGTGTAAAGAGAAGAGAGAGAGAAAGGAGGATCTTAGACAACACACGGAGTTGACTAATGCTCACATGCATTAGTCGTGTGAGTGAAAAACTGTAGGGCCACAAACAAGGACTCATAATCAGTTATTTCAGTCATCAGTAGATGATTTCAAACATTCTTATTTAAATAAACACATTGTGGTTAAGTGGGACCTTCATTTTAGGAGTTTCTCTAAGGTAAAAAAACTAGAAAAGATGCAAATGCTTGATATGTAACTTGTCTCCTGCTTGTACTTTACATCACTACCCCAAAGAAATCCTAAAAATAAATGCTAGAATGAATACTGGTAAGCTCTTTGGTAATGCATTAAATGTGTTAACAGACAGCATACTGTAACTTACTCATGAAACTGCCTTGGTTTTTCTCCTTTTGGTAATAGACATAAAACTTTAACATACACAGTTGTCATGGTTCAAGCCCAGCCGGCAACTTGGAACCACGCAGCCGCTCGCTCACTCCCCCCCCTCTTCCTTCCTCTCCCTGCTCCCGGAGGGATGGGGAGGAGAATCGGAGGAATGTAACTCCCACGGGTTGAGATAACAGCTCTCCAGTAACTAAGGTATAATACAAACCACTACTGCTACCACCAATAATAATAATAAGAGGAATAACAAGGGGAGAGGACACAACCGCTCACCACCCGCCGACCGATACCCAGCCCGACCCGAGCAGCGATCTGGGCCTTCCGGGTAACTCCCCCCAGTTTCTATACTGGGCATGACGTGCTGTGGTATGGAATACCGCTTTGGCCAGTTTGGGTCAGGTGTCCTGCCTCTGCTTCCTCCTGGCTTCCCCTCCTCCCTGGCAAAGCATGAGACTGAGAAAGTCCTTGGTCAGAGGAATCATTACTGAGCAACAACTAAAAACATCGGTGTTATCAGCGTTGTTCCCAGACTGAAAGTCAAAACCACAGCACTGCACCAGCTACTAAGAAGGAGAAAAAATGACTGCTGTAGCTGAACCCAGGACAACAGTACAAGTCTTTAACATTTTAATCATTATGAGCTGAAAATGTGTTTATGTTGTGTTAAGCAATTTGTGTTTGTTAAGTAGATGGTAGCAAATAGTGCTGGCTATAGAAATAGCTGTTCCACAGAAGATGCTCCAGAGGTAGCTGCTTCACTGTTTAAAGCACCAGTGGAAGAAATGTACTGCCTTTTGCAAATCCCATTTCCAAAAAAAAGCGCAGTCTTCTGTAGTACAGTTAGAAGCCCTGAGACTAAACTAACAAGAGTTGTATCAGTCAGTTGATCTCTCCACTGCCTGCCTCTGAATTGTCTGCCAGAACTGCTGTGGAGGGGCTGGTGGGGCTTGTTGAAAAGTAGATGTATCTCCTCTGGAGTGGCTGTTGTAGTGCTTGGAGGGATTCAACACACCTCCATATCCTCCAGAGTAGCTAGAAGCCTGTACTATACACTTCTTGTGTTTGCTTGTAATACCTTTTAAACAGAGTAGAAACATTTTCAATTAAATGAGCTTATATAACTTTATATAATGAGAGAACAAAATCTTTTATGTGGAAAATAAATTAAGTAATTGAAATCCTTCTTCCTTCCTGAAGACAAATACACTCCAGAGATAGCTGGTTCAATGGTGAGATGGGAGGAGGATTTATGTGGAAGTGGTGTAGAATAAAGCCCCATCACTCCATTTCAACTATTAAATACTGAAGAGGAAAAAGTACTTGAGGGGAAGAAGGCTGAATGTGATGCCTAGAGGCTTCTTCTGCAGATACTTCTGTGCAGAGCTGAAACCAGCAGCTCTCTACACAGGCATCATGGCTCACTCACATGGAGCTCGTTGCAGGCACGTGGCTTATGATCTTAGCACTGTTGCACTCAAGTCCCGAGTTCCTCCTTACTTGGGCAGAGTGGCTGGAGAGAGGCTGAAGGAGAGTCATGCCTGAAGAAGATCTTCTTAGCAAGATGCTTTTGCTTCCATCTGTGCAAAACTCCAACCTTGGGAAAGGAAGCGGCATGAAAACTGTTCCAGTTGCAAAGAGTTCAGACAGCCCTTGACCCCTTTGGCTTGGTCATGTGTCATTCCTACAGAAGTCTGCAGCTCCGTGTCAACAGGAACTGCAGTGACAGTAGAACGAGAGCCAGCATTATGTCAACACACAAGGACTGCTTATGGCTTAATGTGATTCCTGTTAGATCACTAAACCCATCTGCCTCAATTCTTACAGCGAGTTCAGCCCCACTGGGTGATTTCCCCTCCTGGCATCAGCTTGCTGTGAAACCCAAATCCCTCTCAGGATGCAGTGCAGGATCTCTGTATGAAGGCTGAAGGGGGAAAAAGACAAGCCAAAGGTGGAAGTTGGTGGAAGATCTGCCAACCGTAGCATCGGGTGGGCAGCATGGCAGGGGCAAGGGGAGCTTGCCACCAGGCACCAGGGGGAGGAGGAGATGATGTGGGAAGAGTTATGTGCAGATGTGGTAGTGCAGGGTTTGTAGGCAAGGGCTGACCCTGCAGTTACTGTGACATGAGAGAGGGGCCAGGGGAGGAGGTGAGGGAGGGAACGGGAACGGTTGGGCGAGCACAAGACAGACGATCCTGCCACAGGCGCTAGGATCAGCCAGGGAGGCAGGTGGTGAGATGGCGGCAAAGGTCTGGGATTTGAGCAGGACTGGAGCACAGCTCAGTTCAAAGCAGGGAATGAAAGGGGGCCGGAAACTTCCCGTCTGCACAGATGACAAATGGGCATGTAGGCGCATCCAAAGGCCAGCAGGCTTGAACTGCAACATGTAAAACATAACCCATACTGTGCTGCAGACGAGTGTTGTTCCTTATAGTTACTTACCACTTAGTTTTTCAAGATAAAAAGGCTTCGTATTTGTGAAAAACATGTAGTCCAGCAACATAATGCCCTTGCACGATTCTCAAACAGGAGACATTCAAATTCTCTCCTGTTAGCTCTTTCCCAGTGTGCAGTTCTGAGGAAGAGCAGCAGCAGCCACTGAGGAAGGCCAGCTGCAAAATCCTCTTTTCATTTGAGTTAGGACCTTATCTAATTTCAGGTTGGTTTATATCCTTTAACCTGGCAACTCCACTCTCCTCACAGCTATACCCACCTGTATAAGGGGCTGCCTGTCTGCTGTCCATCCTGCTGGGAGAGCAGCAGTGTAAGCATCAGCCCACTGGTATTAACCTGAAAGTCTCTCCCCATATTCTTGGCTGTGGAATCTGTTACCATCACCCCTTCAGATTGCACTCAAAAGCTTCCCAAAGGTTCTGTCTCTAGCTCTCCATCCACTACTCTACCTCAAATCCAGGCCACAACAATCCATACCTGAGCTGCTTTTCCAGGTCCAACACCCAAAACAGTCCCAAGACATTATTTGCCTTTATTCTTTTTCCTGTAGTCGTTTCTGCTTCAAACAGAAGACGAGCATACACACTTCCTTATGGTGCTGCACCAGCCAGCAGGATGTGTGCATTACTGCACCATCAGTTCGATGTTCAGTCTCCTCCGGATGACTCTGGGTTCCAGCAGAGTCTTTCTCTCCTATTCCATGCGCAGCCTTTGTTTCCGTGTCCTGGTGCACACCAGTGCTCCTGTTCTCCTTCAGCTGGCAGGACTGTGTAGACCAACGCTGCTCTGGAGTCAGCAGGTCAGTGGTCAGGGACAGAGCAGTGACCAACCCAGACAGCAGGATGGGAGTGGGAAGCAGGCACTGCTCAGCGGAGCCTGAAACCTTTGGGCACAGCCCCCTGGGACAGCAGCACTGGCAGCAAGGGCACGGGAAGGCAGTTGGGCTGCACAGTGGACATGTGGCCATCATGGGGAGCATATGCTTTAAAAACCTGAAAACCACTGGAGTGCTAAGTGAATTAAGAAATAAATCCTGTCTTGTGAGCTTCTCAGCTTGCTTAGGAGGGTAAAATGCTCTCAGTTGTGGGTGGTTCTTCTGGGGACACTGAACATGTACGTTAAGGGGTTGGTGCATCTGGCTTTGCAGATGCCGTCATGCAAAATCTCAGACCACAGATACACTTTTCCACTTAACAGACAGGGGACGTGTGTGCTTTTACTAGTGAGCTTCAATCTTTACCAGCCAAAGGGAAGAAAGAGGAAGTGGCTGGTTGCAGTGATGTAGGTTAATCCTCATAAGGTTACCTTAAATGCTGTGGAAGACAGTACCTTTTCTGTGGCAGTTTGGGGCAAAAAAAATTAATGAGATTTTCATTTACCAGCGGTAATTAGGGCTCTGCTAAAATTACCATATTGCTTCAAGTTCTCAGCCAGGTCAGGAATCTCTGCATGATACTTGTCACAGAAACAGATCTGCAGGGTGACATTTGCTCCCCCTAACTTTTTGATGTGACATGGGTGCAAGCAACTATATAGGTGAAAAAACTCACTTTAGGAGTCCTTCATTGATCCAGAGGAGCGGAAGTAAAGAAAACACCAACAAACTGATACAGGTATTCTTCAGAAAGAACTTGTTTAATGAAGAAAACCTTCTTGTCTAAATCAAATGGTTATTTCTTCTGTAAAAAATCTTACATTTATCCATGCTTGTATGACATCAGAGAAAGCCGAGGACTACCATTTTAAAACAACATTGCACTTATATATGAAAGGCCACAACTCTGCTAGTAAGAGCTTCCACTCACAGTTTAGAGTTAAGCTGTGTCAGCATCTTCTCAAGCTTTATTGCCAGTGCCATGTTACCTTTAATCCTTAATTTTCCTGTCATGAAGGCCAGGGTTGGCTTTAGTTTACCTAAAAAAGAAAACCAGAACCATCAGAAAATGAGACTGGTGACAGCCTGTGCACAGGAAAACATAATGCCACTACAGCGAGACCTAACAGCTATACTGATACCAAGTTCTGCTGTAAAAGCAGCGCACACTTAGGAAACCAGTGAAAAACCTCTCTGGAGCCAGAAAACAACTCAGTAAGAGAGTGAAACTGCATCAGATGTGGTATGCTGTTACGTAATTGAATTACCAGATTATGACTGATTTTAACTGAGACAAGAACATACAACTTGGTTTCTGAGCAGAGAAGAAACAAACCAGCTTACTTTCCTACCAAGTTCAAGCAGCGCACATTTAGGAAACACACACTAGAGATGTGCAGGGCAGAAGTCCCACAGATTGACCTGATTCTTTCTGAAGCTACACTGGCTGCTAACACTGCAATGCCTGGTGAGTAACGGCAGTATCAGCTTGTGTGCTCTTCCTGCTCGCAGGACAGAAGAGTCCTGAAACATGAAGGAGTTTCAGCGAAGCCACAGGAAGCCCACAGCTCCTCCACCCCACGATCACAAAGCCCATCAAGTAGGTTTTGTGGGCAGCACCACCCTGGCAAACGCCCCTGTCACTCACCTGTGAACATTTTCACAAAGTCGGTGCTCGACATGCTCATAACCACATCGGCCTTCAGAGGAGGCTTCCCGGAACCAGTGCTCCCCCCCTTGGTTTTCAGGTCAATGTACCAGATGCCTCCTTCATCACCTGAACAGACAGTGAGAAAGGAGGTGACGAGGCAGGAGAGCGTAGCCCTCTCAGCTCCTCCCTGTCAGACGGCATCTGCTGTGCCCATCTGGAGCAGTTACAGGATGGTGCTTGTGCTGGCCGTGCTTGCCCCATATGCTGGCAAAGCCAGCCCCATGCAGGTGCCTGCAGCACCGCATCTCGGGTGCATGGGCAAGAGAGCCCCAAGGCAGCGTGCTGCTGACAGAGCTGGTGGCAGCTGGTGCTTTTGCCATGGTCTGCAAGCGCCCGCATGTATCATCCTGACAACCCTGTGTGTGGGGCCAGCACTGAGGCAGAGCCACCCCAAGCATCCCAGGAGCAGCAGCAGCTCCCATGTGTCCGGAGCTGGGCCCAAGGATCATCCCATGGAAAGGAACAGAAGGTGGTCTGTGATGGGATCAGCTGGAAGAGGAGAGTGTTGCTGTCTGAAAACACGCCATGCCTTCTGCTAGGAGCATGAGCATGTGGAGGTTGTACAAGTGAGGATCTTACCAGATAACTCAAACTGAAAGATGCCCTGAGTGGTTCTCACATACTCTTCAGTTATTGCTCCCTGAATAACTCTGAATGTTTCTGCAACAGGACTCAACAGCTTGGCTGCAGCAGATTCTGATCCTTCTTGCTGGGATCCGCTTAGTTTCTTTTCCTCCTTGAATGCTTGGGAACCACCTACGAGAAAGTGATTATTTCACTCTTTCAAATGCAAAACATTTTAAAACTGCATGTAAAAACATGCATAGAAAACTTAGTTTGAAAAAGCTTGAGCTCCACGGTAAGGAAAATGAGTATTTCAGTACTGATAGTGATGAAGGATGTTTTTTGCACCTGGGAATCTGAACAGGCATACAGCACTGAATGTATATCTGCAATATATTTCTTTGATGTATTAGGAAATGAAAAGTGAAAATAAAACCACAGAAAGATTATAATTCTGACTGTTCACAGTTCATTACAGACTCTTACACAGCACACCAATTTCTAACACAATCCATACACTCCTGACAACACTCACATAAAATAAATCTCTGTCTTTAATAAATACCACTTTCATCTCAAAATGCTTCCATTTTGTTTATCTTGCTAAGAACATGGATATTTTCATTCATTCTTCTGCAAAGGCTTCTAAGCTGTAAATCCATTCACTGCTTCAATCAGCATTTTACTGTACTGCAGAGAACATGTACATTTTACAACAAAGGACAGCATCTGCCATTTACAAGGCTAATCAAATTGAACAGCCTCTAAAAAGTTGCAGAGAGTCTCTTTGGTGTTTTCAGTATCAGAAAAACAGGTAAGACTATTCTGTGGCTCCCTACAAAATAACCTGCATTGTGAGGCCCAGGGAACCAACAGCATCTGTCCCCAGTAGAACAGTCCTAGTGTGACTGCTCAAATGGCATTTCCAGCCTAAAGTGACTCTGTTCCAACTTTGCTTCTCTGCCCTCCTCTTATCCCTATTTTGCCACTCCTATGCAACCTGTTCAGCATTCTTAGTTGCCCTCCTACTCGACACGCTGCAATTCTTGAAAAGCAAACCCAATGCTTTCCTGTAGAAGACTTTTCCGTTTCATCTGAGAGATATATAAATTGTGTATAAAGGCACAAGTTTTGTATAAGAAGCAATAGAGGCTCTATGTTGTGTTCTTTAATACAAATATAGCAAGGCAAATGAGACCCTCCTGCAAAACATGCTGTCTGCTATCCAATTTCTTTTTCCAGCAATATTTTTCCATGATATTTATGCTACCACAATTCAGATGGTTAAGAGGAGACTCCTCAAAATAAGGCTCCGATTTTATACAATGGAAGTCCTGCAGGAGGTAACGTATTTCCCTAGCTTCAGGTGCAGAGTGACTTCCATTAAATTTTACTCTCCAAATGATGAAAGTTTTCTGTCAGATAGCTTGAGTGGAGTCCCAGCTCTTGGGAAAAAAGAAAAACCATCTTGAAATAGAGAGAGCATTCAATATTGTCAGAAATTATGGACTTTTACGCACAGTGCTTTCCTTACCATATCCTTCTTGTTTCCTGCCTGTCATGTCAGTTTCAAGATCCAAGAAGAAGTCAGGCACCAGGGGGTTACCTAAAAGGGAGAAAAACTGTAAGTCCAAGCAAAGGTGAACAGTTCAAACAGGAATCCATATCACATAAAACTACAGCCAAGTTGTTTAAGTAATGAAACTACAATTTGAAGGAAAGACACAGCATGAAATAACATGTTTAGAATTTGGTTCATTTAAAATCTGGCTTAAAAGTCTCTTAAAGTTGCAATGAAAAAATATTTAAGGAAAAACAAAACCTATCTCACTAGCTGGTAAATAGTAATATATACATCTACAGAGCAGGTACATTTTCTTTTCATTAAATAATTGGTAAATAATTCTTTTCATTAAATAGGACCCTGAAGGTGCCCAGCTCCATGGGACCTGACAAGATGCATTCGCAGGTCCTGAGAGAACTGGTGGATGAACATGCCAAGCCATTATTTATCTTATTTGAGAAGTCCTGGTAGTCTGGTGAAGTTCCTGAT